GAGCGCGTTAGTTGCCCTCAGGCAGCGGCGACGTTAATTACCGTAATAAAATAAATTAGTGCTGTATGCTCCTTGGGGGCAGCTGGAGTTTGTTGCTGCGGGGCTTAGTGGTGTGGCAGGGCCTCCCTGTGAGCAGGATGGGCCGGGGCAAGCGGGCTGGTGCTGCCGCAGGGTGTGTGTTCTCCAGGGTGCTTTTCTCCTGGTTAGTGGTGAATTTGGGGGGAAGGCTGGTGGGTCGTTGTGCAAGCAGTTTGGCTCTTCAAAAATGTGGTAATGTGTATCTGAAGTGGAAACAGAGCTGGGAAGCCTAGCATGGTGCAAGGGAGGTTTTTAAAGCACCAGCTGGAAAATGAAGGGCGTGTTGCAGAGAAACCAGATATAAAGATCATAGATCTAGTACAAAGCAAAGCTTTAGTCGTCACCTTTAGGGTCAGCCTGGAGTCCTTCAGTGTGATAGTGGAATTGCTGTGAGATACTCAAAGCACCATACCCCTTCCGCCATGAGCAGGGAGGGGATGATGTCAGTCTGAGTTCAGACTTCCTAGCTTTGAGGTCACAGTTATGAGCTCTTTGGGCAGTGGAGATGGGCTGAGTGTGGTAGAGTGCATTTCTGAGCTCATGGGCATTTATTTGCATGTTTGGGATGTATAGTTATTCAGCATGGCTGAATGAACATAACTGGGGTGGGTTAGAGGGACTGAATAGGTAGAACTTAATATGAATTTGAATGAATAAGTTCTCGTATTTGAATAGCTATCAAGCCTTGTCAAACATCTGACTATCTTTTTAAAGAATTAACTATTTTTGCTAACAGGGATTGGCAAATAGGCCCAAGTAGAGAAGTATTAAAGGGGATTTTGGAAGGGATAGAGGATGGATAATAGCCTGAGAATAATGACAGCCCCTTTCCCACTGCTCGTTCTCAGCAGGACCTGCCTCCGGATCGTTGCTTTGTGAGCAGGTTCAGTGCAGGCTGTTAGAACGGATCGGTAGGAAAGCGTCTCTTTGGGATTGAGGTCACAGCTGGAACAGGCGGCATCATGGGGACACGTTGATCACAGAGGCTTTCCGGTAGAAAGAGAGGAGAGGACTGATAATGGCCGTGTTGGTACCTGAACCGCAGCCTCTCCTGCAGCGATTCCTGTGCTAGACGACCCTCCGGAGCAGACGTGGCCAGCCACTCTTATGGCCATAGGCCCTAAAGCCAGACCTCCAGATCCGCCTCAGCATGAACCAGGGAGAGCAGCAGCGCCGCGTGTCTGGAGCACCTTCGGCCACGCCGCGTCCTGGCAGCGCGGTGGGTTGGTTTGTCACCTCAGTGAGTCCGTGCGGTTGCCTGCTCCATGTCTGCCATCCAGCTGCCTCGTAGGATCAAAAACTAGTGTGTGTTTAGTTTCTGGGGTGGTGAAAAGATACGTGCTTTTCTGATTCACACTGAAGTTCTCTCAAAGGCAGCCTGGTAATGGAGCCCTCAGCGGGTGGCAGTCAGGGGCAGGTGTCCCAGTTTAAACCGGCTGAGGGGCCCGTCACCTCTTGCTTTTGCTAGAATAGCAACCAGCTTCCACCCCTTAAAGATACTTTGTACGCTCATGGAATTTTGTGGTATTTCTAGAAATAGAGACCAGCGTGTAGGAGCTGAAGGAACCTGCCCCGGCTTGCAACAGGTTATTGTTAGCACCGAGTGGGAGCAGAGTCTGGCTCTGATGATAGCTCCCGTTTGCATCTCTTGTAATGTCGCTGGAGGCAGCAGCTCCAAAAGACATAGAGCTGGGAGGAAGAAAGACACCTCCTTTCTACTCAGGTAAGGCTTTAATAATAGGAAACACCAAGCCTGAGGACTTTACGTTGAAGTTTATTATGTGTATAAATTATGTAACCAGACAAGAGAATGACATGTATCTTCAACAACCGTCTTCTGCTTTTTAAAAAAACCAAAAATTATTGGAAAAAGAATTAACAAAGACCTACTAGTGTCATACAAAACAGTCTAAAACCCACAGGAGCCGTGTGGCTCCACAGAAAAAGTGATCACAGTATTATCTAGCAGTATAAAAAAAATTGAGCAAACAGGGCTCCAGGAAGCTTTGTATTTCTGAGGAGAGGCAGATGTCAAAGCTACATTTCTGATCCTGTAGGATTTTTGCAGGCACTCTGTAAAGCAACGACAATTCTTGGCCATTGTTTTTAGCCTTTTCTACTCTTCATTTTTGGTGATAAAGTTAGTCTCTGAGAAGAGCTCGCACCAAGCACGGGAGAGACTTTGCCCAAACCCCCTTGCAGCACTATCTTTGATTTCTGGGGAGAAAATTCTCCTAATATTAGTGGCAGAGCCAAGATCACAGTACCCAGTCGGGGGGAATTTGTCTCAGAAAGACTGGGGAAAGTGGATTAGTTCAGGGTGAGGGAAGGCACAAAGAGAAGGTGAAGATCCTGCTTCTTCACATGGCAAATAAGCCCACGGCGACTGTCGTGGCTAGGAAGCTGAGTGCCAGGATCCACCGCACCAGGGGAGCGGCGAGCATCGTGTCTGTGTGTCTCCTGTTAGTCCTCTCACTTTCTTTCCCAGGACCTAGATCAGATAGGAAAATAAAAAAAAAAATAAGCAGATGAGAACAAGTTGAGGCCTAAAGCTGCCACTGTGCCGCGCTTGCAGTGGTGCTGGAGCAGACCCTGCTGGAGTTGTCAAGGGGAGAAGGAGGAAGGTCAGAGCTTGGCTGGGATGGGAGAAACGGCGGCAGCAGGTTCTGCTCTCCCCCGTGAGTGAAGAAGGGAAGCAGCAGACTTGATCTGGGACTCAGAAAGACTCACAACCCCTCTGCCTGTACTTGAGTATCTGCCTCTTCCCTTGTCTCCTTACAGGCTTACTCAATGCACCACCCAGCTCCATCAAAACCCTGATGCACGCAGAAGACCGCCAAATACTTATGCCACAATTTTAAAAGGCAGTTTGTCTCCTACGTCTTATTGATTTAATTGGTTAGGCATCGAACGATCTTAAACGGGTAGTCCTTGGCATGCCAGACAAATAATTTTCCCAGTACAAACTTCAGGATGGGATTCTTCATCCAACACCAAGCTTTTCTGAAAATCTTACTTTTATGAGTGTGTTGGGAAAGGAGCAGCAAAGTTTCACAGAGAACTTCTACTGCCTTTCCCAAAGAAGTCACTCTAAGCTTCATTGGCTAGAGATGTGCAAGACGAGGTTTGCTTTTCATTCTTTGCTAAGAGGAAGACTGTGGTTCAATCCAGTACACACCAAAAAATCTCCCTTTTAGTTTTATAATGGGTAGGTAATAGAGGCTTTTTTTCTTTTTTATTTGAACCACACATTATCAGGGAAACCACTCTCCTCTGTAAGCATCTGAGCCTGCTCCTAACTCAATCACAAATCTGGCTGCACAAAAAGGGATCGCTTTGCTTGCAGCCACTGCTCGAGTTTGGGATGGTGCTTGCCAGCAGATGGAGCTTCTTCAGCTTTGCAGAGCTGATGGGCAGCCTGTACATCCCCGCTTCCTACCTCGTTACATTTCACCATCCAGAACAATGCTCATTATAAACCCAGCATGTTTTCAGGAGTGCTTTCAGTAAATACTTCTGGAAGGCAGGAAAATGACCAGAGGAAGATTTAATCCAAAAGGATAAGGCTGTTGGATAGGGCTGTGTGTCTGGAGGAACCTTCTGTCAGCGCCATGGCTGATCTGCTGGGCCCGAAATCGCAGCCTTTGCTTCTGTAAACTGAAGGCCAGTTTTCATGTGGTGAATGAACCTTTCCCTTGTTAAAACCTTAGAGAAGGAGAGGGGAGTCTCTTTTTGTAAAGCTCCCTCACGGACACTTTCTGGAGAGCCCAAATGTGTCATCCTTGCTGTCATGTCTAGAAGAAGCTTTGCACGCACCAGTACCCCTCCTTGCACTACCTACCGATGGCTGGAGAAGAGACAGGGCAACCACCTCATGCTCATTTCTCAGTGGCTTTTACAAACAAGAACAGAGGAAGGGAGGAGAACAAAACCAGAAGGGGCAATGTTAAGCACCTGCCCTTTGAAGTGTCTTACCGTGCTCATATGATTTGTTAATGTTCCTTGCACGAAGCTCTGCCTTCGACTGCACGGGGTGACTGTTCTCCTGGCCCTCAGACACCAGCTCCTGCAGCGCCTCAAACACCTGAGAATAGGGAACAGTGTCTCGTTAGGTGGCCTCCTCTTCTTCTGTCACTGGACCCCTTGCCCCTGCCCCAGGTACTTTAGGAACCAGAGGAAGACACAAGCCTTCAGTCCAAGTCTCCTGGCACTTCTTGCATAGAACATAATCTGCCTGTGGGACCAAAAGCATGTCTTTCAAACCCCTTGTTCGCTTCACAGGTTCTCCCTGAAGCTTCCAGCTCAGGAGCAGCCTATTGCCCATCTTCCGATGGGAAGGAAAGCAAGGTACCTGTGCATTTAGTCAGCATCCACAGAGGACCTGTGGGACTCTACTACAGGGGTAGGACAGATAAATGGTGATTCCCCCCTCCCAGTATAAGCACTCATTCATATCTGAATAATGGCACACAGAAGAGACTGAGTTCAAACCCAAGGGGAGGGGGAAGAGCTTTTCAGAGACCAGCCTTTCGCTAGGCTCCCAGGTTGGACAAGTGTAGCCATCCAACTCTGACTAGCTTGCCCTAATCCACAACTTCCCATAAGCTCCAGAGCAGAAATACCGGCTCTGCCTTTCCCCTCTAGCTATTATCTTGTTTCAGAGAGGGTGTGGGCAGGCAGGGCTGGCTGGTTGTTACTCACCTGTATATTTAGCACGAATGCTTTCTTGGCCTCCTCCAAGACTCTTTTCTTAGTGGCAAGATCCATCTCGAGGGCATTCATGCGGGAGCGATAGAGCTGCTTGAACTTGGTGGCATTGGAGACTCCATCAAATGTGAAGAAAGCCAGCCCTTCTCCAGTGCTGGGCAGCTGGAGGGCCTTTTGGGCAATTTTCTTCAGCACCTGCCCCCCAGACAGGTCTCCCAGATACCGAGTGTAGGCATGGGCCACCAGGAGCTCTGGGTAGTTCTTGCCTACATTGTGGAGCCTCTCAACGTATTTCTGAGTAGCCTCAGGACATGGGATCTCTCTCCTCCAGTTGCTGCCGTAGAAGTACTCCAAGTCTTTCTCCAGGGCAGCTTTTCGGTGCAGCTCCGCCGGAAAATACACAGGGGCATAAACCGGGTTGTTCTTGTTACGTTCGATCTCTTCTTCCAGAGCAGAGTAGATGAAGTACAGGGATGCTGTAACCAACTGAAACAGAAGGAAGAGGATGAGGTACAGGTGCATCTGTCTGTGTTCACATTTTGGGGACAAATCTTACTAAAGAAAATTTACTCATGCGCATACCTGGTATGAATCATGCACGTCTGTGATGTAGCAAGTTTCCCATGTGGAAAACAGAGTTGCAAGGTGCAGTGAGACACTGTTTAGCCTTTCCCCTTCTGCTTGAGGCAGCATCAGGTAAGACCTAAGCCCTTTTGCAGCATATTGGTTGTACCTGCCCTTAAAAGCTGCTGCCTTCCCCTTCAAGTTAAAGTTCTTGCAGCTTCATGTAATGAAGAATACAGCCCTGTTAAATCCTGCCTGGTCTATTCTTTCCATCCCCTCGGTCAATAGAGAGGGTATTCCCAAAGGTATATTTGCTGGTGCATTGTTCAAATCTGAATGCTTCAAGATGTGGCTTCCCTTTATGGGACCTTATGAGTTGATGACACACCCCATTTATTTTTCAATATATTCATCCTGTTGGCATCCCACCATTGTGGGAACTGAGGCACCACCGCTCTCCTCGTTCAGACTTGCAAGCGGGGTTGCCTCCTTGGTTACCCCGAGGAGACAAGATAAAAGGGGGCTGAAAGCACAGCCTGCCTCTGAAGGATGCCTTTGTGAAGGAGCACTGCGAGGCTGTGTGTTCTCCTCTCTGTTCTGAAACCGTTGTTGTTTTTCCCAGCTTACACGATACTGTCTTCTATCTGCCAGCTGTTCCACATGGCGTAAGACAATCTAGCTGTGTTCTTTCCTTCCCCAGGCATTCTGTTTTCAGAGGCTGTATACATATTTACACCTACACCACCTCTTCCTTCCACTGGAATCCCTTATCAGCAGCAAAGGGTAAAACATGAAGGTATTGTAGTACAGGTGAGTCAGGTTTGGGGGGGGGGGGGGAAAGCATTACGCTGATGACAGGAGAGAAAGCAGTTTACTCTCCCACAAAGCAATCAGTTCTGCAGTAGAAGAGTTGCCGTTTCAACTTTTCCCCGTTGTGCCAGCAAATAGGACTTTGATAAGCACGCGGGCAGTGGCTCGTTTGTGGAAACAAATACTCAGATTCCGGGGAGTCATGTGTCAGGGTAGATATATAGGTTTGCCAAGAGAGTAAACAAAAATAGAGGTTTTTAAACAATAACCTGTTATCCAGCTTACTGGAAAAGAAACAAAATACATTGCCTAACAAATTCAGAAAATGTAACTTGACTGGTTGTTTTCAGAGGCAGGTAGTGGTTTAATGGGAAACGTGGCTTTTGAAAACTATTGTTACCTTTTAAAAGCCGTGTCACGTCTCACTCCCCCTGAGAGCACATAAATATCTTCTAAGAAACTGAGCTGTATTCCTGAAGGCCTGACTTTCTGCGCTATTGCCAGCCTGTCTCAAAGTTCACTGCCTGACCAATGCCACATTTCTAACAGCAGGGAGTCAGCACCTGAGATATTAAATTTATGCTTGACTAAGTATTGTGAATGCGACCCGTCAGAAATAAGTAGTCTTTTTCCTACTCTTGTGGATTTATTTGCCAAGGAACAATTTAACAACAAAGTAATTAAACCACAGGTTGGATCACTAGGTGTTATTTGCGAGCCCATGCGTCACATCCTATAACCACCCAGGAATTTCTGGCCCAGGTGTGTGCTTTGGTTTTGCCTATGGCTTTGTCATGTGGCTCAGATCTCAGGAATCACGCATCTAGCCAGGTTAGGCACAGACTAATACCTGCAAATGATTCTCTTTTATCTTAAAAAAAGCAACAGGCTTCTACCTGTTAGCAGCAGACATGGCTTGCTCCAACTCAGTCTGCCTTTGGGTTACTATTGTTTATGATCTCAGCTCTGGTATAACCCAAGTGACAAACATTGCAAAGTTCAGTGCCAGAGATGATCCCACAGCCTCACTTTGTTGCTATTCCATCATTATTTCCAGCTATAGCTGCTTAGTGTTGTTCAGCCACTCATGTATCTGCACAGTCGTACCTCCATTAACTATCATTGCCAATAATTAACATGCAGGCATTTTTGAGGAAAGAGAAAAAGCAATTGCATTAATCCCTTCAAGCTCTTTGTCTTTTTATCCTGTTTCAGCTTGGCTGCCCATTCTGATATGCACAGTCCTGCCCTGCCTCCTGCAAGAGGAGCCGCTAAGATCTTAGGGGAGTCTTAGGGTGCTGGAGTTTGATCAAGAGCATGTTTTGCACAGGCGATGCTGCTACCAGACAGCTGTACTGCAAAGGACCTCCTTCCTTGTGCCGTCCCTCTTCCCCCCCCGCCCTGCTTCAGTCCCTGTGCAGCCCGTCTGATCTAACAGTGTATTTCCTGGCGAGGAAATCCCATCCCCAAGCAATGCTGCTACGAAGTACCTTAAACTCATGGAGTGACACCTGCCCCTTCTGGAAGTTCTTCATGAACGGCGTGTTCTCCGCCTGCTCGTGCACTTCCTTGGTGGCTTCCTTCATGAGCTCTGACAGGTCCTTGGACATGCTGGGGAAGAGCAGCAAAACAGATGTCAGTGCTGTTCCTCTCTGCTGGCAAATGGATCTTAGCTGTCTAGGAAGAAAGGGGGAGCCTGGGACAGCAGGAAAAGGAGCAGAGCATTCCCAAGAGCCACAGATGGGAACGGGGGAGCACCAGCAGCCCAAACACTGTCCCGAACGGGGAGGACTGACAGACTCCATCCAGAGGTGAAAGCAGAAGCATGCCGTTCCCTACAGAACAGAAACAGGAAGAGCATGCCTAAAAGCAATGGAAGAAACACAATACTCTTCTGGTGAAAAATTTCCCTCTCGTTCCCGTCCCGCTCTCACCTTTCAGAGCTGTGTGTCTGGGAAGTTTCCATGTTTCTCCACTTCGTTTCACTCCTCCGATTCCCTGTTGTTGTTTTGGTTTTTTTTTTTTTTCTTTGCTTGTGCTTTCCTCCTTCCCTGCTGCTCCCAGGACAGTGAAGGCTCTGAGCTGGGTAGCCGGGCTCCGGCATCCAGCTTTATACTGCCAGGCCACGTGAGCAGCCAAACCGCTGACCTCAGTGTGAGTACAAACTTCTTGCAACACAACTGCACTTCCCTTCCCAGCCTGGCTGTCACCCACTCCTCGCCTGCATCCCAAGAGACCCGAAGGAAGTCACCTGATCTGTCTTGACTTACTAAGCACAAACAGAGGATGTCCAGCAACTTCTTCTTCAAGGGTGCCTGGCTCCGTAACCCTTTCAGCGCAGTGCCCGTGGCAGGCAGAGCCCAAGTGCTGCCAGAGGTGCTCACTGCGCTGGGGGCAGCGGGGTTGGACAAGGAGGGGTGGATTTACAGGGCTAGTGCTGGGGCAGGGTGGGCAGCCTCCTCTCCCTACACCCCAGTCTGTGTCCCGACTGCACCCTGCCTGGGGGGCTAAGACAAGACCCATCCTCACCTGCCCTAGGACGACTCAGGTATATAAAGGTCTCATTTCCCGTGACCGTGCACATCTTCAGAGAGTCTCTCAGGTGATATTTCTGGCCATGGGATGGGGAGCTCAGCACTACAGGTTAGGAGCATACCCCCTTCACGGCAGGGAGCACAGCAGGGACCCCGGGGTGCGTACCAGTCCTGGGCACCCGGGGGTAATTGGGCTGCTGTGGCACAGGCATGCACCAGATCTGGTCTGCAAGCGCCAGAACTGCCCTTGCACAGCGCTGGGCACTGGTGAATAAACCCTGTCACTTTGCACAGGGCCAGCACAGGTGTGCCTGCGCTTATGCACAGAGAAATCCTTTCCACGCTCCCTTGTGTGTGGAAAAAATACTGATTTGTGTGGAACTGGCTGCTGCTGTTGCCGCAGCTGCATGCAGGCCAATTTAGGAGAATAGCACTCCATCTCCTAGGTACCCAGAAGGCTGGGGTAGCGGGTGGACCGAAAAGATGCGATACAAGACTTGGGGGAAGCTGAGGAAGTCTGCGGAGACTTTCAAAGGCAAATAATTTCTCTGATTTGGGAAAAGAGAGTTGGACAAGGTGCTTCTGCTAGTAGCTTGGCTGCTCTGCTGTTTTGTCTGGTGAAGTGGTCAATGAGGCAGCCAAGAGACGAAGTAGGGCCCTTCTTTTCCAACTATAGCTGTGCTGGAAGCAGGGCTAGCCAGGATGGACAATGCATTGGCCAGCTGTACTTTGGAAAAGCACACATTTTGTGCTCAACCCAAAGAGCAGGGCACTAAAACCCACCACTCCCCTGCCGCTGTGGGGGTGAGAAAGCCCCCGTGCCGCAGCCATGTGCGGGGTGGTAGGGAGGCAGAGCCTGGGGAGGAGGGGGAAGGACTTCAGCATCTTCTGTCTGTCTGTCCCCTCTAGTGAGTCCACTCTGGGGCTTTGCTGGTGGGTGCTGCCGTCCAAGCCGTGCGCCCCGCGCGTCTCCCTGTGACTGCACCCACACCCGGCCGCAGCTGGGTTTGCTGCTCTAGGTTAGAAAGCTGTCCTGGAGGAAATATGCTTCCATGCTTGTTTTTTGAGTCAGGCAGACATCTGGCATGTGGTGCAGCACTCAGGAAGGATTACTCAGCGCTTCCACCCTGACTCAGCCAGACTTTTCCTGTCTTGCTTTTGTCTTTTAAAGCAACAGTGCATGCTAGCAAAAGTTGTCACGTTCCACATTTACCCCCCCCCAGGCCATTGCAGACAACTTGCTGCTGGTTTGCTTGTTTTTCTCTAAGGTAAAATAAATGTATCGGGATGTCTGAATCTTTGAAGCAAGTGTGACAAAGCCCCAAACACCCCCCTGAGAGAGGGCTCCTGCGTGGAGCCCTGGGAGCACAGGGCTGCACGGCCAGTCTGTCCTGAAGTCATTGATGCAATTTTGCCACAGGGATGGCTACAAAATGAGCATTTCCCTCTGGCATTGCTCCTTAAAGCTCACGCGAAGTTTTCTGTCCTTTTCAGTGAGTCCTGGTCTGTCACGGGAAGCTGGAGCACAGATTGAACCTGTAGTTCTGGTCGGGAGAACTAGGAAATCTATGAGAATATGAAAAATGCATAATATTATTCATTTTATGAATATGAATAATATTAAAAAATCCTCAAATCCTGAAGCCCTAGCCCTCCTTTCACCTCTGTTGTGCAGCTCTGGTAATGCACCCAGTTCCTCCCCAAGGACTTTTTGGTTGCTTTCAGGCCAGTGCTTTTGTCCCGTGCCTGCCTCTCTTCCAAGAGGCTGCATGCTTGGAGGCACTCAAAAGGATGTATCCAAAAGGTCCTCCTCCTTCCTTTTCATCCAGAGTTGAGGTAAATGCAGATGTGAGACTGAGGATACGAGAAAGAGGATGTCTAGTCATGTCACTGCTATTCCAGTTAGGATACTTCGTCCCAGGAAGAAGTTCTGGCTCGTAATCACACTGCCCCAGGACATGGAGCCAATGTACCTCCTTATGGATCTTGGGGCTTGACCTTCTCCTGGGCTGGTCACAAGAGATAAGGTCCCTACTGCAGCTCACCTCCACTGTGAGCTTTTCCACGGGTGCAGGCAAGCAAGCTGCGCCCCATAGCTGATTTGTGCCGCCTGGTCTCTAGCTGATCACGGTTACTTGGGATGGAGCGGCTGTGAAACTGGGCCCAGCTCTCTGGAAAGGCCCAAATGCTTCGCAGCAAGATGGAAGGAGAACTGAAAGTGGGTCATCATCATCTTTGCAGTCACTGGCCTGGGGCATTTCTGGCCCCATCCAGTGCTCTGCAGCGAAGATTTGTATTGCTTCTGCTGAGCTGTTGCTATGCAGTGTGGGGAGGTTAATGACACCGAGCGTGCCAGCAGAGATCTGCAAGGGACCATCTCTTCCTAGAAGAGAATTTGGGAAGTCGACACTTGATAGTGATGCGCGGGGAAGGAGGTGCACGCTTTTAGCGGAAAGAACAAACTCGCAGAGCAACTCATGCTGGGCACAGTGGGCCGCAGGAAAGCAGAGGCCAGCCCGCATCCAGGTCACTAGGAGATTTTGCTCGGACCTCATCAGAGTGTCAGACCCGTGGTCTCCACCGTGCCAGCCAGTAGTTCTGTCGTCTCCTCCTCTTCCAGCGAGCAGCGGCTGGGTGCTACCAGAGCTACTCGCTGTGAGGGCGATGTGCACCGGCACCAGTGAAACTGCCCAGGAGATTTCTAGCAAAGATGAATCAAGGAGCCTCAGGCAAGATATTTGTAATAGTTCCTGCTGGGCTTAAAAGCCTCCATCTGCACAGCCCAGCCCCTGAGAAAATGCTTAGTCAAGAGACCGGGTGGATGAATGGTTAACAACAACAGAAAGTGACTGAGGGGTCGGTGCTTTCATCAGGGATAGGGAAGTGGGGGATTTACTTCTCTTTATACACTTAACAGCCTGTTCTGCCAAAGGATTTAGGGTCAGAAATGTCTAGTTACACAGGCAGTCATGGAGTGAGAAGTCAGCTCTCCTGAACCCACGTGGGAAGCACTGCTGTTCCGTGCTGGGCTCCGGCACACAGCTCCTGGCAGCTTGGCTGGGCTCGGCGGGGAAGGCACCACCCGGTGAAAACCAGCCTTGTCTGGCTCGGAGGGGTTAATGGGCGCTCTCGGACCGTGACACAGCAAAACACAGCCGCCTGGCTTGCACCCGGAAAGCTGACTCAGTAACCAGGACTTGCTGTGTAATGGTAGGGGGAAAAAAAACAAAACAAAGTTGTGATGACCACTTAAAATGACTTGCTGAAAAAGGGAGTCAGTGCTGGAGTATACAGAGATAGTCTGTGGGTTAATTTGTGTTTACCAAAGGGAGATTTCCCAGCCCAGCCGGGCCCAACCCTGGCAGAACTGACTGTGCTCACTGCCGTCAGCATCGAACAATCCACGTCTAGATCAAAGATACAGGTGGAAGAAGGGAGGTCAGGAGTGCAATGCACTGGAAATCTCCATGGGGAGCACAGGCGCTGCAGCTGTCCTCTGGACTGGTACTGTTAGACGGACATGTGGGCAAACCCCACACATGGGAAGCCCAGAGACCGGCATGGTGGGAGGTGGAGGTGCAGGCAGATGTCTCAGGCATAACAGAACCAGCACGACAAAAATAGGAAATGCAGATTATTATACATATTTTTATAGCTGTATGGATATATGAGTGCTGCAGCGCATGGGTGTCTCCAGCATGTGGCTGCAAGCAAGGAGAGAGCTCTGGGCTGGCTGGGAACAGAGGAGGGAGAACAGAGCAAGCACCCTGCGAGGCACGTGCCTGCTTTGTGACCAGAGACCCGGGGACAGGCAGCGACCGAAAGCGTGAAGCAGGTCTCCAGGTTATGGGTACGCTGGGCTGAAATTTTGGGGGAGGGTGCATAGAGCCCACCGTGCTCCTTAGAGTCGTGGTGCTGGTGGGGGTTTGCTTTGGGAGCAAAAGGGAGGTGTGGAAGGGAGCAGGGCAAAGTTAGCAAATAAAAATCCCATTTGTATAAATCTTTCAGTCTGTGCCGCCTCCTTTGTTTCAGTGCTACAACCGTGTAAAACAAAGTGTGCCCTGACTGTGAGACAGGACAAACTGTAGAAATCTGGATTTGAAAATGACATGTATGCAACAAGGAGGACTTTGTGCCGCAGCTCACGCCCCTTTCTCAGGGGACGGGAGGAGCTGGAGCTGGAAACCAAGTTTTGCAAAGAGAGTGAGACCCAGGCGTCCCCCCCGCACGGTTTCCAAACCGCCCCTGCGTGTTTCCCTGCCCGTGGGGTAAGGGAGACACGTGTCCTCCTCCTGCGTGGGGCCGCACAGCCGACGGGCCCTGGGCAGCTGGGGCTGTTTGTGGACATTTCTCCGATTGTCCCGAGAAGCGGGACCGGGGCCAAGAGCAGCAGCTGCAATCTCAGGGCGGCGCGCAGGAAACCGCCCCTTAATAAACACACTTCACGGGGACCATGCTCCACCGTG